AACGTTATACAATCTTATTTATTGCAACAGCTTAAACTGTTATGGCACTTTGAATTGCACGAGAGTCCCTTGCTTTTACAACTGCATTTATTCGTGGAACAATTCTGTTTGCAATGACAGCGTGTATAGCCTTGCCCTTCACTTTTTGAATTAGCTGCAGCTGCTTCTCCAGCGATATTTCTTGAGAAGAAAGATCATCTATGGAAAATAACTTTTCTATACAAATTACGAACTGATTACAAGTATAAAGCCGCTTGAGAGTGCCATTTTTGTTTGCTAATTTATAAAAGTCGGAGTCTTCTATTCCAACAACAACCGCCTACACATTTCGAGCATCTGTACGGCCACGGTCAACGTCGGGGACTTGTATTCGTACGGTATCACCAATTTGAGCAGAAGGAAATGGAAAAGGATTTGGCGACAGACTGTCGCCTCTCTGTTGACATCGGCTTCTCGGGTGTCGTTTCGACCTCCACCAAAGCTTATCTGTGCTTGTCGACATACATCGCCGATTGTTCGAATGTATAATAATTTAACCAAATATTCGGTCATTCACCGACATATTTTGTATGTGTCGACATTCACCAGAGAATATCGACATTCTCTAATTTCGGTCTTTCACCGTAACATATATACTGCAGCCTGTGTCAAGTAGGAGGTGTTGACCTTTTAGATCAGCATCTTCGAGAATATCCAGTGGCAAAAAAAAGAAAGAAGAAATTTTATAAAAAAAAAGTATTTTTTTCATTTATTAGATATTTCTATATTTAATTATTTTGTGTTATATAAAAAAATGGTGGCAGAATGAAACATTTGCAATTTCGAATAAATGTTATTGAAAGAATTAAACAGGCGTATCACACAGAAATGAGAGTTACCAGACATGGTCAGCGAGACCTTCAGGTCCTCTTAGACTTACGGAAAGACATTGCTCGGACCTTTTTCCAGCAACCGACAGAAAAAATGCTCCCACTATAGGCTGTACCGTATGTAAAACTAAACATGACTGTGCAGGGAAAAAAATAAGGGCGAAAACCAGGTATTATTGCCAAGCTTGTGATGTGCCTTTGTGTGCAGCATCCTGCTTTAAAATCTACCACACAGTGGAAAAATTAAGCAAAATTTACGTTTTTTTTTACATCAGAAAGTTTTTTCGTCATTATGTTACAGTATTTTTTGAAACCTTTATTTTAACTGTAAATAATATTTAAATATATATTTTTATTCCAAATTAATGTGATTTTTATTTTAATTTACTTATATATTATTTATGTGCAAATGTATAACTTATATACCAAATATAAATAATGCGATATGATCACTGCAAATGTATAAATAATAATGTATTTTATAATTGTTTTTCATTCTTATTATCTGTAATCATTTAAAATATGTTTTTATATCGATAAATTTAATTTTCATTATGTTTTGACATGTTTTTTGTTTTTAAATTATTTTTAAACTAACCGACGAATGGCATATTTCCTGCATGACAGCGAGTTTATGCAGGAAAGCCACCGTTGCAGGCCCCTGTAAAGTTGGCTATCCTGAGGGAAAGCTGCCATTTAGGAATCAATTTTGCCAAATTTAAAAAATCGAAAGAAAACCACTTTTCAATTGAAATAAAAAATATTTATAAGTAATAATAAATAATAGGTGTACAAAAAACGAATTTTTTAATGGAATAGTCGTAAAGGGGTTAAAAACATAATAAAAATCTATTAATTAAAAAAAAATTAAACTAAACCATGGGAGGTTGTTTTTGACATCAGAAAGTATCTTTAAATAACTTTACCAAAGCACTAGAATTTTAGAACAAGGAACGAAATTTGAATAAAAAAATCCCGTAAAAAAACAACTGCAAACAATTAAGCATTAATCATGCGTCATTAAAAGGTTGATTAAAATCGCGATAAATTTTTTTCGCGCAGGAAAAAATTTTTGAAAAAAGTTTGGAGACTTAAAAAACATCCGAAAATAAAAAAAAAATATTTATTTACAAGACTATTTTTTACAAAGTATATTTACAAGACATTCTTCTTCTTAGTCTGTTAAGACATCGCAGATGAAGGGGAGAGGGTCAGTACTTAGTCCACTTTCTGAGCCTGTTGACGACCGCATTCAGTCGCTTGGGCATACTTGCCACAAAATTGTCGCATAGTATGCCATCATGGCTTCTCCCAACAATCTCTGACGATTTCCCAGAGCTCGTTCGGAGTCGCCATCTGAATGGGGTCGTCGGTGAGCTGAGACCAAAGGTTTTCAATAGGATTTAGGTCTGCCCCTCTCCCCGGCCATCCCATATCTAAGAGCTGTGGATTCTCCTGCAGCCACTGCTGTGTTACTCTGGCCGTGTGCACCGGGGAGCGAACGTGTACAAAGTGAATTGGCTCTTCACCATAGATGGCCCTCACCGTCGGCAACAATACCTCTTCGAGTATCTCGATGTATTGCACGGCGGTGAGGTGACTGTCTATACGCACCAACTCCCCGGGACCTGCCGCTGTCATCCATCCCCAAATACCTGTAAAACAGAAAACGTCAATAAAGTTGATTTATAAAATGAACATGCCAATATGTTGTCATGTTCAAAGCATTTGTGACATAAATACACGAAATTTAAAAACTCACCTAAGGAAAAGCGACCGCTTCTTTGGGTGCACCACACGTGCTCCGAGTCAAACCGGGTGCAGGGTTAGGGTTTGCGACGCACCCACTTGGTCCCGCAGCTCGACGAGCAGAATACCTTCTCGTCGGTAAAGATGACCTTGGCCCGGTCAGCCACTCCCCAACTGGAATAAGTTTGGGCGAACCCCAGCCGATCAAATTGGTTGCCGACTGTGAGCCACTGTTTTATGGCTGCCCTCCTTCCGTATACTTCAAACTGTGGCAACCTATGAATAGAGTAAAAATCATATATATTATCCTGCTTCCTACATTTCTGTATATGCAAGAACATGTTAATAAAGTTATATTTCTATCGATATAATGAACTGCCAGAAATACATTTCATTGGAAGGTTGTAATATTATACTACAAATGTTACATACCTCTGTTTTACCGTATCTACAGATATACCCAGGAGAACACCCTCCAGCCTCCCCCGCTGTACCCTGCCCAAGATATACCAGCGGTCATCCTCTTTTCTTTCTGCCTCCTTATCTACAATTATTGTTCTTCTTATCTTTCCGGATGTCATGGGTGTACTTTAGTTCGTGTGTTAGTTTAGTTCTCTTCTTATCTTGTTTCTTTTCCTCAAGATATTCCTCATAACTGTTTTAACCTGCTGGAAGTTGCGTTTTTCCATCATCTTCTGTCTATCTTCATCTGTCACCTCATTCTTCATGTAAAGTTCCATCAAGAAGTCCGAGCCTCTTCTTTCTTCATTGAAGATTACACATTGAAAGAGCACATGTTCCGCACTGTCGATTTCTCCGCACTCACATTCAGAAGTGTTTCCAATCCAAAGCTTTGTAATTTTTCCTTAAAGTCTCTGTGACCTGTCAGAAACTGGGTTGTGTAGAAGTCACTCCGTAGCCATTTCATTCTTTGTCGTTCATTTACTTTGTTGATATATTGATATGTTTGACGTCCTTTGTCTATATTGTTCCAATCCCTTTGCCATGTTTCTTTTAGATATTCTTCTACTTCTTGTCTTCTGTCTCTTCTTGCTTCATCTGTGGTTGCTTCACTGAACTCTTGGTCTTTAATAGAGAATCCTTTGCCTTTCCTTATGTTATATCTGGCATATGCCCTCAAAACCTCAAGCTCGATAGGCAGAGCATTGGCAATCACCTGTAATGCCGCAGCAGAGCATGTTCTGTACCCCTTGAGTTACCTTAGTAGGGCTGTACGTTGGGCACTGACGAGCTTTCTTTTACTTNGTATCACACAGAAATGAGAGTTACCAGACATGGTCAGCCGAGACCTTCAGGTCCTCTTAGACTTACGGAAAGACATTGCTCGGACCTGTTTCCAGCGACCGACAGAAAAAATGCTCCCACTATAGGCTGTACCGTATGTAAAACTAAACATGACTGTGCAGGGAAAAAAATAAGGACGAAAACCAGGTATTATTGCCAAGCTTGTGATGTGCCTTTGTGTGCAGCATCCTGCTATAAAATCTACCACACAGTGAAAAATCTAAGCAAAATTTACGTTTCTTTTACATCAGAAAGTTTTTTCGTCATTATGTTACAGTATTTTTTGAAACCTTTATTTTAACTGTAAATAATATTTAAATATATATTTTTATTCCAAATTAATGTGATTTTTATTTTAATTTACTTATATATTATTTATGTGCAAATGTATAACTTATATACCAAATATAAATAATGCGATATGATCACTGCAAATGTATAAATAATAATGTATTTTATAATTGTTTTTCATTCTTATTATCTGTAATCATTTAAAATATGTTTTTATATCGATAAATTTAATTTTCATTATGTTTTGACATGTTTTTTGTTTTTAAATTATTTTTAAACTAACCGACGAATGGCATATTTCCTGCATGACAGCGAGTTTATGCAGGAAAGCCACCGTTGCAGGCCCCTGTAAAGTTGGCTATCCTGAGGGAAAGCTGCCATTTAGGAATCAATTTTGCCAAATTTAAAAAATCGAAAGAAAACCACTTTTCAATTGAAATAAAAAATATTTATAAGTAATAATAAATAATAGGTGTACAAAAAACGAATTTTTTAATGGAATAGTCGTAAAGGGGTTAAAAACATAATAAAAATCTATTAATTAAAAAAAAATTAAACTAAACCATGGGAGGTTGTTTTTGACATCAGAAAGTATCTTTAAATAACTTTACCAAAGCACTAGAATTTTAGAACAAGGAACGAAATTTGAATAAAAAAATCCCGTAAAAAAACAACTGCAAACAATTAAGCATTAATCATGCGTCATTAAAAGGTTGATTAAAATCGCGATAAATTTTTTTCGCGCAGGAAAAAATTTTTGAAAAAAGTTTGGAGACTTAAAAAACATCCGAAAATAAAAAAAAAATATTTATTTACAAGACTATTTTTTACAAAGTATATTTACAAGACATTCTTCTTCTTAGTCTGTTAAGACATCGCAGATGAAGGGGAGAGGGTCAGTACTTAGTCCACTTTCTGAGCCTGTTGACGACCGCATTCAGTCGCTTGGGCATACTTGCCACAAAATTGTCGCATAGTATGCCATCATGGCTTCTCCCAACAATCTCTGACGATTTCCCAGAGCTCGTTCGGAGTCGCCATCTGAATGGGGTCGTCGGTGAGCTGAGACCAAAGGTTTTCAATAGGATTTAGGTCTGCCCCTCTCCCCGGCCATCCCATATCTAAGAGCTGTGGATTCTCCTGCAGCCACTGCTGTGTTACTCTGGCCGTGTGCACCGGGGAGCGAACGTGTACAAAGTGAATTGGCTCTTCACCATAGATGGCCCTCACCGTCGGCAACAATACCTCTTCGAGTATCTCGATGTATTGCACGGCGGTGAGGTGACTGTCTATACGCACCAACTCCCCGGGACCTGCCGCTGTCATCCATCCCCAAATACCTGTAAAACAGAAAACGTCAATAAAGTTGATTTATAAAATGAACATGCCAATATGTTGTCATGTTCAAAGCATTTGTGACATAAATACACGAAATTTAAAAACTCACCTAAGGAAAAGCGACCGCTTCTTTGGGTGCACCACACGTGCTCCGAGTCAAACCGGGTGCAGGGTTAGGGTTTGCGACGCACCCACTTGGTCCCGCAGCTCGACGAGCAGAATACCTTCTCGTCGGTAAAGATGACCTTGGCCCGGTCAGCCACTCCCCAACTGGAATAAGTTTGGGCGAACCCCAGCCGATCAAATTGGTTGCCGACTGTGAGCCACTGTTTTATGGCTGCCCTCCTTCCGTATACTTCAAACTGTGGCAACCTATGAATAGAGTAAAAATCATATATATTATCCTGCTTCCTACATTTCTGTATATGCAAGAACATGTTAATAAAGTTATATTTCTATCGATATAATGAACTGCCAGAAATACATTTCATTGGAAGGTTGTAATATTATACTACAAATGTTACATACCTCTGTTTTACCGTATCTACAGATATACCCAGGAGAACACCCTCCAGCCTCCCCCGCTGTACCCTGCCCAAGATATACCAGCGGTCATCCTCTTTTCTTTCTGCCTCCTTATCTACAATTATTGTTCTTCTTATCTTTCCGGATGTCATGGGTGTACTTTAGTTCGTGTGTTAGTTTAGTTCTCTTCTTATCTTGTTTCTTTTCCTCAAGATATTCCTCATAACTGTTTTAACCTGCTGGAAGTTGCGTTTTTCCATCATCTTCTGTCTATCTTCATCTGTCACCTCATTCTTCATGTAAAGTTCCATCAAGAAGTCCGAGCCTCTTCTTTCTTCATTGAAGATTACACATTGAAAGAGCACATGTTCCGCACTGTCGATTTCTCCGCACTCACATTCAGAAGTGTTTCCAATCCAAAGCTTTGTAATTTTTCCTTAAAGTCTCTGTGACCTGTCAGAAACTGGGTTGTGTAGAAGTCACTCCGTAGCCATTTCATTCTTTGTCGTTCATTTACTTTGTTGATATATTGATATGTTTGACGTCCTTTGTCTATATTGTTCCAATCCCTTTGCCATGTTTCTTTTAGATATTCTTCTACTTCTTGTCTTCTGTCTCTTCTTGCTTCATCTGTGGTTGCTTCACTGAACTCTTGGTCTTTAATAGAGAATCCTTTGCCTTTCCTTATGTTATATCTGGCATATGCCCTCAAAACCTCAAGCTCGATAGGCAGAGCATTGGCAATCACCTGTAATGCCGCAGCAGAGCATGTTCTGTACCCCTTGAGTTACCTTAGTAGGGCTGTACGTTGGGCACTGACGAGCTTTCTTTTACTTATTGCAGTAGTCGTGTCTGCCCAAGCGGCCGCCGCATAGGTGATAATTGGTATGAAGAGCCCTATGTAAATAGTTATCATTGCTCGATAGTTGAAGCCCCATTCAGCCTTTGCGATGCGTCTGAGGCAATTAAAATAGTTGGCGGCCTTGCTTGGAATATCCTTTACATGTTCTATTATGTTGAAGTTCTTGCCTATGGTTAGGCCGAGATATTTGACTGTCTTTTTCATTTTGATTGACTGGCCATAAAGTTTAATTGTAGGCAGTCTTTCTTCACTTAAGTTTCCTTTCATCATTACCATTATAGTTTTCTCAGTTGAGAATCTTAACTTGTGGGCAGTGGCCCACTTTTCCAGGTTTGTCATTAAAATCTCGCCTTTTGCTTCAATTTCTCGCCTGCTATTTCCTTCTAGTACAACCGCCTCATCATCTGCGTAGGCAATTGTCATGAACTTCAATTCATTTAGCATTCTGAGGTTTGAGTCGAAAACTAAATTCCACATGTCCGGCCCCAAGATGGAGCCCTGAGGGCACCCACGGTAGAGTTGCTTTGTAGTGCACACATTGTCGTCTATAATTGCAGCACTCCTGTTGTGGAGATAGTCCCTGATGAGCCAGTATAAGTTCCTAGGACACTTATGTTGCGCCAATTCTTCCAAGATGTTCGGCCACCACAAGTGGTCGAAGGCTCCGACTATATCAACGAAAATTCCCACAACATATTTCCCTGTTGAGTTCTCAATCATGGTTCTTAGTTTAAGTATCGCATCCGTGGTGGAGCAACCCATCCTGAAGCCATATTGGTTACTTTCAGTGTTATCCTGCATATCCTTATTTAACCGGATCCGTATGAGTCCTTCTATCTAAAGCCTTCCCCAGAAGTGGGAGAAGACAGATCGATAAGACTTGGGGTCACTTCTTTCTGTTACCAGGTTTGAAAATAGTTATTAAACGTCCTTTCTTCAAGTCTTCAGGGAAAACCCCATATCTTAGGCAGGCGTTGTAGCCTTTGATTAACTCGCCTTCTATGTGTTCATAGGCCGCATCTAATATAGTTTGATTAATTCCATCAATTCCTGGGGCTTTGCCCCTTTTCATTCTTGCCACTATGCATCTAAGCTCAGACTCCTCAAATGGGGGACTAACCGTTTCTCCTCTGTATCTCTCAACTTTTCTTCTGACATCTTGTTGTTCAGGCGAATCCTCTTCCAGATTGTCTTGTTTGAAGAGGGAGTCCATGATGTTTGAAGCGGCTTGCCTGCAGTTAATTGCCTCGGTAGATCCTAGTCTTATTGGTCCGAGTATTTGGGCTTTTCTGATCTTCCCTGTGTTTATTTTGTATGGTAGACCTCATGGGTTAGTCTGGCCTGTATCTGTCACAAAGTTCCTCCAGCTCTTTTGTTTAGCCTCTAATATGGCTTTTCTGAATTGTCTTTTACATCGATAATATTCAGATCTAAACTCTACCCTTATGTCTGGGTCGTGTTCACGTTGATAACTACGTCTTGCTCTGTATGTTTTGGACTTGATCTCTTCAAGTTCATCATTCCACCATCTTTGTTGTTGTTTTACGTTTTGTCCATTGGGAATAGCGATTTTTGCGGCTTTTATAATAGCTTCGTATCTACAGATATACTAAGGTTTAATTCCTTCTTCAACATGGACGCAGTGGAAAAAGGCCAGGCCTCACTAGTGGCCTTTAAATGGGCATCATCCTCCGCCGCCGTCCCTCGCTGTTGCCCCTTCGCCTTTTCCAGCGACACAGCACCTTTGTCTCGGTACATCTTAAGGATGCGCGACACAGCTCATGTCGACACACTCAGCATATCAGCAATTTTTTGGTAACTGCATCCTTCTTCATGATAGCATATGATCAACAAACGAATATCGTTACTGATTGCCTTCAGCATGATGAATGAATTAATGCAGCATTTCAGCAACGGCTTTACATACTGTCGCTGCCCTCGACACGTTATGCAAATGAGTCCCTTAATTAAGCTTAATTCAGGGGCTCATTTGCATTGTGAATACAAATCTTTATGCAAATAAGCCCCTGAATTAAGATGACTGAAGGGGCTCATTTGCATTGGGAATACAGAGCTTTATGAAATGGAATGTTTTAAGAGTAAGATGGGGGGAAGCCATGTGTGGTAAAAAGTAAAATGTGTTTTTATCTAAATTATAATAAAATTTACTTATATTTACGTGAAATATCGACAATTTTCTTCTGGAGAAATGTTTCCTGATAAAACTAATTATTTGTATCAATAAAACTTTCAATAATACATTATTTACAATGACTGACGTTCCTTTATTACCCTTTTTGTAGTATGTATTATGTATTAAACACAGTTTCGTAGATTGTAACATAATAATGTGTATAAAAACTGGAAATTCTGTTAATTTGTAAATGCAGATACTTTCACATAAAAAGCATAGGCCTACTTGTAAACTCTACATTTCACCTGAGACAATCGCAATTGAATTTTCCTAAATTAAATTATTTAATTTCTAATTTACTTGACAGAAAGAAATGTTTATGATCCGTATTTCCTACATCTAAAATATTTTTGTCATGACATTATTTCAAACATCAAAAAAATATAGATTTCTAATATCGAAATATATGAATATTTTCATGTGTGAATATTATATTTCGATACTTCTATCTTCCTTCACTAAGAACATATACTTTTATTCTAAAACATTAACTTTTTGTTAACAAAAAACTGTCAAAGTAGCAACCAAAGAAAAAATGACAATAAATTATAAGCTGTGTCAGAGGAATGTTTCAGCTTATTCGTCCCATCTTTGATATAATTCGTTTATTCTGTATTTACACTCAATTTACGTAAAAATGATTGTATTGTGCCGTTTATATTTAATATCTTATCTTTGTTTCTGTTTAGTAAATTGAATTTTACACTTCGGAAACTCAAAATAATAAAAGCCAAACACATATTACAAAGCTTAATTTTTACAATATCAACTTAAAATGGATAATATTAAATAATTGTAATTTAATAATTACTATTAATTTTTACACAAACATTAAATCTGAAACATATTTCTTCATATTAATGTTAGCTTTCGGTCACGTGATTGTTCTATATTTAGATTTAACTTAGTGGGAGATTGTGTAATGTTGTTTTCATATCTAATTNGCTAACAGAGAAGAGTATCGTTTGACACGAACAAAAGCATTGAAATGGCGATGACGAGCAAAAGAAAAGAAGTGTGCTATAGCCACGATTTGTTCTACGTTTCCTAGCTATCGAATTTGGAAGATCTGAAGAAATCAAAAATGTTGGGAAAAGTGTGTTCCTACAATGTATGAAGTAAATTGGCGTGAAAACTTTAGAGTTTCTAGAGAAAACGTTTAATTTCTTATGTGCTGCATTACCTGAAATGAAAACAAATAATACTTGAGACGATGTATTTCTACAGATAAAAGAGTAGCAATTGCTCTATATACATTGGCATCGTCGTCTAAATATAGGATTATTTCACATCTGTTTGGTGTAGGAAAATCCACCGTTTGCAAAATTGTTATACACTTTTGTAATGCAGTTATAAATAATTTAATGTCTACCGCTATTCAGTTTCCACAGACCAGGAATGAAATTGAACTAAAAATTCATGATTTTTACGAGATTTGAAATTTTCCACAATGCTTTGGTTCAATTGATGAAACACACATTCCTATTTCACCACCAAAAAAGATTCCATTGACTATTACAATTACAAAGGAAAGTATTCTTTGATCCTCCTTGCTGTTTCAGATGCCAAATATATGTTTGCATATATAAATGTAAAATCTCCTGGAAAATTCTCTCTAACATAGAACTTTATATATTATTTAATATTAGCAAACTATCTGTTTGTTCTAAAATCATTGTTGGTGAGTATCATGACACTCTCCTAGGGACATTCCAGATGATGTCTAGACTTTTGTTTGTATAACTATATTCTTGTAATTCACACCTCATCCCCCTTCGTTCCTAACAAGCTGTATATACTACATATACAACTTGTTAGATTAAACTCTGTGATCAAACGAAGCAGTTGCTTTTTCACTTTATTCCACTGTCACACCCTGCATTTATCACAACATGTTATGGGCCGAGTAGGAGCCTTCTGAAGAGGAATAAAAAGAAAATTCCCAAGGAAGAAGTTTAATTGAGAAAACTGCAGCACGTAGTGATTTTTTGGACTATTTTTCACGCTCCACAAATCCAATCGCTACAAAACTCAGAGAACCAACAGAGAACAAAGGTATGAATCTTTTTTTAATAAAATTCCACGCCAAGTATCGAGAAGTCAACTTCCAGTCAATCTAGCGAACAAAAACGCACCAACAAATTTAAACAGAGCTTATTTTGGTGGAAACTAACTGATACGTAGACATTGTAACCCACAGACTTTGAAACGATACGACGATTTTTCGATTATAATAGTCGTGGTTCTTATCATTCTATCGTTAACAATTATATTTAATAATGACAACAACGATCAAAATTGAACCTGTAAAGAAAGATAACTACGATACGTGGAAAATCCAAGCAAAAGCTATTTTAATTAAAAATGAAACGTGGAAATATGTTAATGGGACCTACTTGCGACCCATTGATGATGAGGAAAAAGCAGCCACATGAGACGAAGACGATTCCAAGGCCCAAGCTGATTTAATCCTCACGATCAGCTCCAGCGAACTAAAACAAGTCAAGATATGTAAGACTGCTTTGGAAATTTGGAAGAAATTGGAATCCATTTACCAATCAAAAGGTCCCGCGCACAAGGCCACACTCCTCAAGCAGCTCATACTGCATAAGATGGATGAGCCTGATGACGCCAGAGATCATCTAAACAAATTCTTTGATGGTGTCGATAAGCTTCAAGATTTAAACATTAACATCAACGACAACCTTCTCGCTATAATGTTGTTATATAGCCTTCCGCCATTCTACAAAATCTTACAAAATCCTACGAAAATGCCAGCAGTGATCATAGGCCTTCTGAATGTCAAAAAATACAGACACTAAGTGTTGTCGACAAACAAACGCTTCACGTATGAATGTTTCAAGCTTTACTAAATTATCCGTGGTACTTCTGTTCCTACGAAATCCACTCTGATGTGGTGAGTAGTAGTTCTTCTCCTCTAGGAGGAACATCAGGCACCTATTTACCATTCTGTCAAACAGTTTACACAGGCAACTTGTCAGAGAGATTGATCTGTAATTAGATGGATTCTTGCTGTCTTTACCAGGTTTTGGAATAGAGAAAATAATTAAAAGTCTCCAAGTGTCAGGAAAAGTATTTTCTGTCCATATGCTGTTAAACAGATGCAGGAGATTTGAAAGGAAATTGTTTGACAGATTTTTAATCATGCTGTAGTGGATTTTATCCGGTCCAACAGCACTATTCCCCGAGCGAGAGATTGCTGTATGTGAATGGCACATTATATTCCTCATTAGATTAGGAATGAAAGTTTAAACAGTGTTTTTCTCTTTGGGCTTTATAAACCTGAAAATTCCTTGAATACACAATATTGTTGGATGAAGCAGAAAATGTTTCACCCAATAAATCCCCAATACCCTGTATGTCGCTGATTATTGTGCCATTATTTTCCAGCATGGACAGAGTGAGAAGCACATTTCCCATTAATTTTATGGATTTTATCCCAGACTGCTTTTGAGCTGGTAAAAGATGTTATGCTAGAAACATACTTCCTCCAAGCATCCCTTTGCCTTCGCCTTCTTATTCTTCTGGCATTTGCCTTTGCTTTTTGAAAAGCTATGAAATTGTTAGTAGTGGGGTATCTTCTGAAAATACCCCATGCTTTCTTTTGTGCTTTGAATGCTGCCTCGCAATTCTGGTCCCACCATGGTTTCAAATGCTTTGGATATGTAGCTGATGTTTTCCCAATTGTTTTTTCGGCTGCCTGAATAATACTAGAAGTGACGACTTCAACTGCATCATTGATATCAGCAGTATTTACCATTTCCTCAGTGATGTTAGCCAAAGAGGAGAATGCAGGCCAATCTGCAGTTTCAAGTTTCCAGCGTGGTGGACGGGCTATTTCACAGCTTTCTCTGCCTTGATATTTTAGAAATATTGGGAAGTGGTCGCTAGAGAGTGGATTAAATCCAACCTCCCATGTAAATGATGAAAACAGGTGTGGACTTGCTAAGGATAGATCAATGACAGTGAATGTTTTTGTTGGGGCATGAAAGTACATCACTTCTCCTGTATTAAATAAATATAGTTGCTGATTACCTATGAATCTTTCAATAGCCCTGCCCCGACTATTAATGTCGGGACTGCCCCACATCAAATTGTGACCATTGAAATCACCGAGTAACAGGAACAAAGTTGGCAGCTGTTCAACTAATGCATCCAATTCATTTTCATTAACTCTGACATCTGGTGACAGGTATATAGAGCAAACTGTGACAGTTACTCAAATAGAAATTCTCACTGCCACAGCTTGCAAAGCAGTGGTTATTTGTACCGGTAAGGATAGAATGCGATTTTAAACCAGAATAGCCACACCGCCACTGGCACGGATGTGGTTATCATCATCCTTGTGGTAGAGATCAAATCCTTTTAAAAAGATTCTTTCTCCAGGTTTTAGATGTGTTTCCTGGAGTGCGTCACAGAAATGAAGTAAATGATGTCACGTGTTTAATGTCAGAGAAATTGTTGCGGAAACCACGACAGTTCCATCGGATTATTTTATAATCCATTATGTGTTTGAGGAAGCATTTTTTGCAAGGGTATCACTCTTCAATTTCACAGGAGGTTTATCTTTTGGGGGTGACATTTGTTTTTGCACCTCCATGTTAGGCTCTTCATCAGAGATATCAGAGAACTCACTCATGGACTGAGTCTCTGATCTTTTAGCTTTAGAAGGAACTGCTTTTAATTTTTGTTTGTTAAGTGGATTCTTATTTGCTTTCTTAGAACCCACGTTTCTGGTCACTATCCCTGTTTTAGGTAGGGGTGTCTTTGTCTTGATACTCTCCTTTTCTTCGGTTTGTTTTGATGGATTAGCAAACATTTTGCGTGGCGAGTAAGAGATTCTTTTGAGGAGACAGAAATATCTGTTTGAACCCCACGTTTTAGTAGATTTCAACGCAGCAGCAAAGGTCTTTTGTTTTGTTGGTGCATTTAGGGTGGCCATGTGACGAGCCTCTGTGTATGATATGTTATTTATGGTTTTTATCCGTTGGACCTCTTTTTCTCTCTGCCACGCAGGACATTTCCACGAGTAGGAAGGATGGGCATCTTTACAGTTCATACAGCACGGGGTACTTTTACATTCAGTGCTGTTGTGGTCTTCTGTCCCACACTGTGCACATACGCTTTTGCCTCGACAGGATGTTTGTGAATGTCCAAACTGCTGGCATTTGAAGCAACGCAGCAAATTTGGAATGTAAGGACGAACCACCAGCGCAGATATCCTGCAATAATGAAGGATGGCAATGTTGGCTTGTCAAATGTGACAATTAAATGTTTTGATGGTATTAACTTGCCATCTCGACAAATGGAGATGCGTCGGACAACAGTGACACCTTGATCTGAAAGACCGATCTGAATATCTTATTCATCTTCAGACATTACGTCGGTCTCAGATATCACACCACGTGATGAGTTTAAACTTTTGTGTGATATGATTGAAACTCCCATATCTCCGAGTGTTTTCATTCACAAAAGCTTTGTTGTTTGTTGAGGAGAGGCTGTTTCCACCAGAAGGTCACCTGACCTCAATTTTTGTATTTTCTTTAAATGCCTGATGGTTGATTCAAATAATTTTTGAATCAAGAATGGGAAACACTTAGATAAAAGTTCTTCTCCAGTTGCGTGGACTACTAAGTACA